GGGTTCACTAGGTCATGGGAAGTTACTTTGAGGAGATTCCTGTCATACTCCCCAGTGGTGAACGTCATCTGCTCTGCACTTTAGGGCCATTTCTACTCCACTCTGTTCTCCTGCCGCACTCTTAAGCCCACACCCAAGTTTTTTTTCTCCCCAATAGTTGAGTGTCCTATACCCAGCAAGTGTTTAGAAACCATTTCGCTATGCTTTTCACTTCTGTTTCCACTCTTCTGTTTATCCCAGCTGCCTAGTTAGAAGGTGAACCCCGCCCCCGGCCAGGTAAGGACATACATTCTCAAAAGCCTCTCCAGCCCTCTGACGTTGCATGCTGAGAGTCGAGCAGAGTCTCAGGAGCCCTCCCTGCCTTCTCACAGCCTTGATCTTCATCCCTTAATGACCCCTGTGGACTTTCATGACTTGCCGCTGGCCTGCCAGATACCAACCCTGAAAAACTTGAGAAGCAACTGTTGTATTTTTCCCATGGTCCATAGCAAGCTCGTGGAACAATGTTCAAACGGTGCCATGTAGTTTAGGGCTTCTGCTAGAAGCAGTGCTGGGTGTTGTGTTTCATGCCTAGGCACCTACTAGATACCTGTCCTGAGCATCTCCAGAGGTGCAGGAGCTTCTCAGACTGGTTCTGAGGATCAGAGAGGATTTCCAGAATCTCTCCCCTTTGTCATTACCAGGGACAGAGCCTAGCTGTTTTATTTCAGACATGTAGTGACACCTCTGTTGCAGGGCGGGGAGGGGATGAAAGAAACTGCCATCTTCCATATCCCTCATGTTCCAGTTTCCTGCTGAAGGTACCAGCCAACTAGATGGCTTACCTAAAGTCACTTTAGAGGGACAACAGAACTTAGTTGTGAACACTGATTTTGCTGTGAATCTTGGGGATGAAAAGCAGAATTCAAAATGAAACATTTCCAAGAAACAGAATAAGACGTTTGTTTTAGAAAACAACAGAACAGGTGTCTGTACTGAATATCTTTACAACAAGAACAAGGGGCTTACATGTGACCTGTTCAAAGAAAGGCTGAGGTGCTAAATTCACCTGGCAGAAGGTGTCTGTGTTTCCTGGGTCAGGATTTCCTCCCCTGCTTCCCACATTCTCCTTCCTGGCTTTCCTTGCTTCCTCCTTCCCCTCCTCCAGGTTCCTTCCTGTGCAGTGACCAGGCCCAGAGATGAGTATTTAAAGACTCCTCCTTGCCAGTCTTCAGAAGGAAACACTGTGAAGGTTCCACCTGACAAGTGCCTTCACTCCCGTCTTAGGAACAAATTCCTGTCTCCTGGCCACACCAGAGCAACTAGTTTCGTTTCCCTCTAGCCCAGTGGGTCTAAGCCTTCCTAATGCTGGACCCTTTCATACAGTTTCTCATGTTGTGGCCCCCAGCCATAAAATTATTTCATTACTGCAATGTTGCTACTGTCGTAAATTTTGATAGAAATACCTGACATGCAGGATATCAACCCAAGGGGATTGAGACCCATAGGTCGAGAGCAGCTGCTCTGGTATGTATATGTGGCAAAGACTTGGTTTCCTTTGCTTCCTTGTCTTTAGAAGTTCACACACCTGCCAACATATCAAGGTGGCAAAGGACCTAATGATCTCTCTGGGGACTGGGGGACAAACAGAAGAGTGCTGAGACTATGTAATTAACTCCACTTTCTTTGCTATGCAAATTCTGACCTGTAAACAAATGGACTTAGAACCCAGAAAGGCCTGCAGACTTGGAACCAGGCTATGGTGGCAGACTTCTGGGGCACAGACCTTCACAGGCAACTTGCTTTACACAGCAAGAGCAAGCTGTGGAATAAATGGAGCTGCTGCTGCTGGGGCGGCAGCCTTGTTACAATTTCATTCTACACTGCTGTCTTTCCCCTGTTATAAGAAGAAATCTGAGTCCCAGTCAGTTACCGCTGGCCTCAATTGAGGGAGGGCCTAGTGAAGGAGCCTCCCGCCACCCCTGCTCACCCTGAAACCACCCCACACTTTTGACCTTCCTGTAGAGAGCCAGCCTTCCTTCTATCCAGCACTACCTGCGCTTTGCTGTCTCGCAGCCTCTACTTTCTGCCCAGGTCTTTTCCAGATACTTTCCTCTTGGCACATTTGGCTTGCACTTTGACCACACTAACCAGGATGGCCTGGCCAAGGCTATAAGAAGCAGTGGCAGTCAGCTCTACCTGCCCCACGCACCACCACTCCAGGCAGCCTGCTTAGTTCCAATCAAGAAAGTGTTTCTGCCATCACAGGCCCTTTGAACTAAGTGTTTTCTATGTGGAAACCCTGAGGTGCAGAAGTCATTTCACATCTAGTTATTTACGATTTTAAATTAGCTTCATTAATAGTTTTTAAACCAAAGGCATCTTAATGAGGTGCTGATACTTTTTAGAGGATAATTTTTAAAAAACATTTCCATGAAATAAGACAGGTTGTCTAAAGGTTTCTCCATATGTTATAAACTTCAGCTAAAAATAAGTGTGTGTATGTGTGTGTGTCCATCCACTAGATATTTTATTTTGAATCTTTAGGTATAGACATAAGAGTTTGTATGATTCTTGAGAATTTCCCATCTTTTTGCCCAGCTGTAAAATTGACCGTAGAACGCCCCTTCCCCCAGACATGTCAAAGTGATGCTCAAAGGCAGTGGGCCTGAGGCTGGGGCCAACAGCACTGTGCTGTTTTACGTCTTATAAGTACTGGAGCAGGGTACCTCCTTAGACAATGTGTCTCCCAGACACATGCCTCCAGTCTGTAGTGGCAGGGTGTTTAACCTGACGTTCTGAACAGTGGCACCCCATGTGTATGCTAGAAGAAGAAGGGAGTGGCCTCAATCCTGTGTTAAGCAAAGGAGAACAGGACACAAGCTCCTCTAGGGTTCTGTCCAAGTGTTTCCTACTCCTCCTCCTCCTTCTCCCCCCCCCCCACCTTTTCCATGAAAAGCTCTTTGTCTTCTGCCGCTGGCCCTGGTCGTGGGCTGGGTGTTGATGTGAGTACAGTTTTCAGACTGGAAATGAATGAGGTGTTCCATCAAGAGAGGCCTGCCTTCTGTCCTATGTGGCTGACTGTTCCAGGGTTTCCTCCATGTGGGTCTTTGCTGCTTTCTCTGTGGGCAGCTGCCCCTGGCTGGCATCTGTCTATTGGCTTTCCCAGAGGTACTTTCAAGACTGCTTTTCCTAGGATAGGAACTATTCTAGTACACGTCAGCTGTGCCTCCTACAAGTCCTGAGCCATGGTAAAGCCAGGCACCCTTGCTGAGGAAGGAAGGAAGGAAGTTCACAAAGGCTCCCCTTTGTGTGCTTGTGAGAAGGCTGGTGCAGAAGTTCAGAGATGCAGGAATGAAATAGAGAAGGGAAGTTGGGAAAAGGCGCTATGGGAACCAGCACTGAGGTTGAAGTTTGGTAGTATCCATGTGGGTGGTGGAGAAAGGATATCTGTCCTCGCCAAGAAGGAAACAAAGGGGCAGAAGGGCCCATCAGGCAAAGACAGGTGCAACTAATAATATAGTGCACTGCTAGTGGGCATGTGCACAACCTTTGGTGAGGAATAGTAGGCATACACACTTTAAGAACTCCTTAGGGTTACACATGGCTGCTAGTCAGGGCTCAACAATCAGAGGGTTCCAAACAAGCAACAGATGTGTAGAGCCAGGACACATGGGCTTACAGAAAGAAGGGCATCTAAGAGCTTTGTACAGCTTGCTGCAGAATTTTGTGCATAAATATTTAGAGTACTCAGAGCATTTGTTAGATTTTAAAGCAGTGCTTATTCTTCCAGCTTATGTGAAAACAGATATCCCTTTCATTGTGTGGTACTTACTGTCATTTGAGTATCACGTACCAGGGAAGAGGATACAGGCTGCAGGAGGCCATATGTCAAGACCTAGTATGGGAAGGAGTCCATGAACTAGCTCACTGGGAAGTATGACAAGAGTCACACAGGTATAAGCTGCCACCATCTGTCAGGAGCCGGAAAACAGGCTGCCTAACAAACATGTACACATGGCCAGGGTTGGGGGAGGGAGGAGGACTAGTTTGGGAAGGAAATGAAGAAAGGAAAGAAACTATATTCTCCAGGAGAAACTTTGAGACCACGAGAATGAAGAGGTCACAGTTTGCCCCTTTAGAGGAGGCTGGGGTTCCATTCAGGACATATGGGTATGCTCAGAGCTCAAGCCTGGGTGGCCTGGATGGATTCTTGTAGAGGCCTTTAGTTGCATCTGCCTGCAGACTGTTGGACAGCCCCTGGGACTGGCTCTGTATCTGTCCTTACCTATAGCATGCAGGTTTCCTGATTGCCAGACATGAGGCCTACTTGCCACAGTAGAACTCAAAGAGCATAGGCATGAGCTCAGAGTCCCTTGTAGTTCGCAATAGAGCTAGTTCCTGGAGTAATCTGAAAGTATAGTTTTAGAAAATTTGAAGAAAAATTAAAGTCTAATATTCTAGACTCCTTATTAAGATCTTTGCTCTTGTGAATAAAAATGTGAACAGGAGCTTCTCTTCTCTGGCTGCCTTTGTTGTCATTTTTAAAAAGCTGCTGCTCTTCCATTTGGGGAGGGTGAGTGATCACAAGGTTCACTGCATCTATCCAGAATAAAAGCTGTGTTTGGTAGAGATTCATTGTGTGGACAGCTCTTGGGCTCTTGTCTTTTCATTGCTTTCTCTAAGCCATCAGCCAGCCCTCAGAGCCCCATCTGTTGTGTCTTAGGCTTCCTATCTTCTCTTCCCTGCTTGTGACATTGATGACCTGTCATCCAAACTAATAGAAACTCTTCCCATGTGCCCTTCAGTGCAAATCTCCCATGTGGCCTTATTTTGTGCCTGGGGAAGTACATAGGCCTCAGCTGTCTGTTGAATTCTGCCAGGGCGTGGTAGTCTAAACTGACTGAGGGCAGCAGCTTCTGTGTCTGGTTCATTCCTATGACATAAGTCAGAGCACACAGTCAGTGCTTCATTGAGTATGTGTATATGAATAGTTATGCACAGTCAGTCTGTCTTTGCAGATCCTTGAGGAGTGGTTTGGCCGCACTGTCATCCGTTCCTGCACCAAACTGAGCTACGACCATGCCCAGAGCATGATTGAAAATCCGACTGAGAAGATCCCTGAGGAAGAACTGCCTCCCATTTCTCCAGAGCATAGTCCTGAGGAGGTACACCAGGCAGTCCTGAACCTGCACAGCATTGCCAAGCAACTTCGCCAGAAGCGCTTTGTGGATGGTGCACTCCGTTTAGATCAGGTCAGTGAATCTTTTTGTTCAATGCAATCTTGAGTTTGGCTTGTGCCCAACACCCAAGGGTGAGAGGCTGCCTGGTGGTCTCTTTCTCTTAGCCTGTTTCCCCAGCCACTCTACCACACCATGGTAACATGAGTCACGGGAAGATAGTATCTGTGTAGGTAGCTCTCTGACTCCCAGCTGCTCTTACCTGGAAAGCCTGTGTCCAGGATTGAATTCTCACTTGTTAGATGACATTGCTGTGACAGGTGCCTGGGAAAAACAAGGGAGGAAGGACTCATTTTTGGCTCAGGTTTCAGAGGAACTTGGAAATTGGCTCTGTTGTTTCTGGCCCACAGTGAGAGAGAATGACATGTGAGAAGCATGTGGCCCAGTGGAGCCGCTTGTCCCATGGCAGCCAATAAGCAGAGAGAGATAGAGACACAGACAGACATGTAAAGGGGCATACTTTCCAGGGCACACCCCAGTGATATCGGTGAATCTAAGAGCTAGTTCTTTGAGACAATAAACAAGATTGACAGACCCTTGGTCCAACTAGCCAAAAGAAATAAAGAGGACCCAAATTAACAAAATCAGAAATGAATAGGGAAACATTACAACAGACACCAAAGAAATTCATAGTTTCATAAGGGAATACTTTAAAAACCTGTACTCCATTAAGTTGGAAAATCTAAAAGAAATGGATGAGTTTCTAGATTCAGCCAAACCACCAAAATTAAACCAAAAAGAAGTCAACAACCTAAACAGACCCATAACAAATGAGGAGATTGAAATAGTAATAAAAAGTCTTCCAGCTAAAAAGAAAAGTTCAGGGCCAGATGGATTCACAGCAAAATTTTACCAGACTTTCAAAGAAGTTCTTCAGCCAGTCCTACTTAAATTATTAAAAGAAGAAGAAGAAGAAGAAGAAGAAGAAGAAGAAGAAGAAGAAGAAGAGAAGAAGAAGCACTCCCAAGTTTCCTCTATGAAGCCTGTGGTCTCTTTATGTCACCAGTTGTGTGTCCCCTTAAAGAGGCTTCTTCCTCTACTCCCTGCTTTGCTCTTGGTGTTCCTGAGGATGGAGACCACCTTCCTGTCATCTCCATCAACAGTCCCTCCATGATTCTAAGGGTCTAGGTTGCCACTAATGATGCCAGAATCAGTGTCTCTAGCTTTGACCTCCCTCCCTAGCTGTCTAACCTTGCCGCCTGCCTTTATACCTGCCTGAATACCCCTCCTCATCTCGCCAATGCTCACTCACCCTTCCTTCTGCATAAAGTGGTGCTTGGTGCCCACAACATGGTGCACAGGCTTCCTGGTGTCCTCCTCTCCCTCTGATCCACTGGGGTATTATATGTGTGTGCTCCCAGACCTGATGTACCAGCTGCACAAGCTACTGTACTTATGCTTTGATTAAATATTACACAGACTGACCAAATACAAGTTTCAAAAGAAAGCTGGAGAGATGACTCAGTGGTTAAGAGCACTGGCTGGTCTTCCAGAGAACCTAAGTTCAATTCCTGGCGCCCACATGGCAGTTCACAACTGTCTGTAACTCCAGGTCTAGGGGATCTGATGCCCTCATACAGACATAAATGGAAGAAAAACACCAATGCACATAAAATAAGAATAAATAAATCATTAAAAAAATTTTAAACAGAAAGAAATCTATTTGCTTTGTAAACACAAATGTTTTGGAAAGACCTGGATGAGGCAAATCTTCAGAGTTTCTCTTCTTTAGGTAAGACAGCTGCATAGGGAGCTGGGAAATCCTAAAACTCAGGAGGCACCTGGACTCAAGTCACTTTAAATTTAATTAGGGGACTGGGGAGGTCTTCAGAAAATGAGTTAGGTTTTGTTTCCTCAAAAAAGACTGTGGAAATCTATGGTGTTGGCACCTGTAATCCCAGCATTCTGGAGGCTAAAACAGGAGAATTGAAAATTCAAGGCCACATGAGATGAATGTCAAGACCTTTGAAACAAAAAAGAAAAAAGGGAGGGAACAAGGGAGAAAGGAAATGAAAAGAATAAATTTTGTTTTCTCTCACTCTGTAGTTCAGGCTGGACTTGAACTCATGGTTAGCCTCCTGCTTCACTTTCCAGATGGTGGGATTACAGGTCTGAGCCACCACACCAGGCACAAGCTTTTATTTTTCAAAGCCTTACTCTTTTCAAAAATGGTGAAGAAATGTACATTTATGTAAATTAAGACAAAATGTTAAGTTGGGTACTTTGTGTGCCTCTTCTGCATAATTCCCTTATTTACTTGACTTTGGCAGTGACAACTGTTACCCAAGCCCAGGAAATGAGAGGCTTTCTGAAGTTCCATTTTGAGATGTTTCCCCATCAGGTTGCTATAACAAGTTCAACTGGATTAAATAGTCTGTGAGCTGGGATAAAACAAAGGCAACCTCAGCTCCCTCCATTAGAAGAGGTGTGGTCATCAGGGGCATGACCACAAGTTATTGATGGAGGATGAGCTTTTGGCTTGTCTGAGAATCAAAATTTTATTGCTGAAAAGACTTTAGATATCTGTATCTCAGTGGCTCTCTTAACTCATAAATTAGAAGACTGATGTCCCTACAGGTAAATAGTTACTTATTGCCAGACATCCAAGTAGCTCTTTGTTTGGTTTTTCTTCATTTATTACACCATGTTGACATAAGAAAAAAAAAGTTTGCCTTTAAAGTGGGGGGACACCCTCAAAACTAATTAGGTTCCAGTTAATTAAGGTTTGAAAATAATGAATTTGTATCCTTGGAGTTGATTCTTTAGTCCCCAGAAAACAAGTCTATAGACCCCACATTAGATGGAGACATCCGTCAGTGCAGCCAAGGACACTGGGGGGACCATTTATAAATCAGCTAAATGGCTTTTTTTCAGAAGCCACTGCATTTGTTCTCCTGTCGCTATTGCCTTCTTTGCCCTCACAAGCCCATTTTTCCTTGGTGCCTTTTCAGAAGCCTGCTGTTTAGAGTTCTCGGAAGCTTTGTCTGCCGTAGCTCTCTGTGTCCATGTTTTGAGAGGCAGTCCTCTAAAAGCACGTCCTTTATGTCAGCTGCAATTAGAGCTCAGTTTCAGCCAACTCAGAGGCATGTCTTTTAAGAAATCAGTTTGTTTGATGACCCTGAGAGTGAGTGAGGGTGAAGGACGAGGTACTAATATGGTACCTGTTTGCAGAGTCAGGGACATGGGCTTGATAAATGCAGAGAGGAAGAGCAGCTTGACCATGGGGTGTTTGGAATCAGCAACTTCAGCCTCAGCTTCTGGCCCCATCTGATCGTGAACTTCAGCCCCTGCGCAGCTGCCTGGTTCCAGGTCCCTAGAACACCAGCTGACAGTCTTGTTCTCTGAGCCTGGAGTGCTGGCCTGTGCTGGGAAGCAATGTAGAATGCTGTTTTCAGGCAGAATAGCTCTCTCAATGGCACTCACCTAGATCTGGCTCCTGATTTTAACAAAGTTCTCTTCCGAGAAGTGATTCTCCTTTATGTCACTGCCCCAAAAGCGACAGGGGCCTCCAAGACCACTTTGTGATTTTTGGTCAGCTGAGTTGAATAATGACCCTTCTGAGTGGCTTGTCTCCAAATCCACATTGTCTGCTGCCAGGGTAGTTCAAGAACTTGATACAGATGGCTGCTTTATTATAATTACTTTTTACAGTATATGTCTCTCCTGCATCTTAAAAGAGGGCTCTAATTCTCGGGCCAACACTTCTATGTGTGTAAAGTAAAAGAAATCGCAATAGTTTCTAACATCCACACCCTGAGCGTGATACAAGGGTGTTGTCAGAGGGCTTCTGTCTCTGGCTGGCACAAGGCCCTCAGCAGTTGCCATTTGGGAGGAAGATAGAACTGCCTGGCTTGGGTGCACATAAGACCCCGTGTCCCCTTTGGGGTTCTAGCTTAGCTATTGCCTTCAGAAAAAGTATGGTGGGAAGGAAGTATAGTATCAAAGGGACCCGCAGTACTAAGACGTCTTTGAAGTACTGGTTGATGGCAGAAAACTCCACCACTGCTTTCTGAAGCTCTTTTAACCAGGTTAAAGCTTCCATGAGAAACAAGCCAGAGACTTGCAGAGGTCACCCCCCCCCCCCCCAGCAGGCAGTACTATGATTCTCTGAATTCAGTGGGCCTTGGAAATCAAGTGAAGGAAACCAGGGGTAAAATCCTTAGTATTTAAAGGAGACTTTACTAAGTTCTTGGCTCTGTCATCCATGAAACCTACTTGACACAGTTTTGAGGCCCAAACTCCATGCAAGTTTCTTATAAAAGTAGCCTTACTAATGGAAGTCAGTCACTTTTGAATACCCTGGGACTCAAGCTGTGGGATGCTGTTATGCTTGACCCTAACGTAGCTTAGCCTTTCAATCAGCATTGGCAGGCTTTCCCAGGAAGGGCCAGATAGTAGACGACATGAGTTGCTGGTTCGTAAGGTCTGTCTCTGTGACTCAGCCCTGCCTGCAGTGTGAAAGTGCCAAGTGCTCCAAATGAATGAAGTAGTTGACATGCAGTAAATTTGAAGGTCACTGAGTTTTGGATTCCATATTATTGTCATGGGTCACTAAATATTATTCTTCATTTGATTATTTTTCAACCACTTAAAAATGTTACCCTGTGGTCTGCACTGACCCCTGCTTAACTGACCAGCAAGCTTTTCAGCCCTATTACCCAGCGAGCCTTTAGCAGCTCATTACCGCTTCCCCAGGAAGCCAGGCTAGGTAATAGAGAACAGTTGGGCTAAGTGAGTTCTCAGGATGGTTCCATGCAATTAAGTAAATTATTCTTTTGATTAGTACCATGCTTTCAGGTCCAGTTGGATGCTGGAAGTAAAAGAGTGACTGACTCCCTTTAGCATCAGCTCTCTTGCTTTCCTTAAAGTCTAGTCTCTGTAACCAGTATGAAGCCAAAGGAGCAGCCCTCTCCTTTCTCCTCTACAGGGTCCTCAGGGTCAGGGCAGCCCTCACCTCACCTTGCCTGGCCTCCTGAAGGGGACCTCTTCAGGAAGAACAGGCTGTAAGGAAGCTG